ACAAATGATTTCACCAGCGACATTTTATTTTTCGATTATATAGAGAACAAATTTCGAAAAAATGATTGGTCATGAATATTGAATATGTATGAGTCATCATCAACGCTTGAGAGGATACAAAGAAATAAGCATAGGCCACGTCTTTATATTCTTCAATTCATGTTTATTAAAGTACATACTAATTCTTAGGTAACTATTAGTTTTTCTAAGTTTTTATTTTTTGTTTTCATTAAGAGCATATATTTTCTATTCTCATTTTTAAGTGAGCAAGGAAACATAACCTTATTTTATGTTGATTCGTGCGCAATAGGGGTATTAATTTAGTGTAACTTTAGAAAATAAATGTAAATGAATTATTTATAGTTAAAAAATAAAGCTAAATTCGTCATATATATTTATCCATTATTATAAATGAACAATAAAACTAAAGTAACACCACTAGTGCGCAACCGTTAAGTAAGGCGCACGAGGACTTTTCCATCCGACAGGTAATCGAACTGTCACCTAGTGCTTTCAGCCGGCGAAGTGATGATTAACATTTTGACTAGATCGACGTCTTACTTGTCTGATGCTCAAAATACTTACAACACAATAAAGTCTTATTATATGTGACAGAAAACATCAACCTTTAGATATGTTTTCTAACTTTGTGCGTATTTATTCTAAAATTCATACTCAATGTCGTAATTATCTAAAGCAGAGAGACCTTAAACTTCATTCTTATCAAATGAGGACATTTTCTTTTCAATTCTTTTCGACAGAACGTTGAATGTGATGACTCAACAGAAAAAAGAAAAAAGAGACACGTTCGCGTTCTATGTCAAATAGAACAGAAAAAAATATTACATTTTTTGATATGTGCTCGACGATCATTGATCTAATCTCTCTTGCTTATGAAAAAAAAGGAATTTAATTTAATTTTAATGAAATAAAAATAGAGTTGAGCGAAATATCATTCTTTTCCTGTCTTAAGAATATGAGATAGATTAGACGGAAACAGCTGATAGTGAATGAGGAAAAGCAATATAGTTCCTTCAGGTCTAAAGGTGAAACTTCGACAAATTCCTGCTCACCCATCTATCGCTTTCAGCTGTAAAAATACGATGCGTATTATAAAGATAAGCGAGTTATTCCTTAAAAAAAGCTCAGTTATTTTCTAGAAGAAAACTAAACAATTCTTTTACAAAAATGTATATGTGCCGCGCCGACTGATAAGACGAAATTCCGATTTTCAACATGATTTCACCTTAAAGTTACACTCCTCTCTTTAAGAAAATTATTCGTCGGCATTTCATAAAAATGTGACGTGAAAACTGATAGTTTGCTCCTAAATTCAACTCTCCCAGACTGTCTGATATCAGTTTTTTTATCAGTTTAGAGCTGTGATTCATCTGTTTAGAAAAGAAAGATGCTTTTACTGGGAATCTATTTCTACAGTAAGCGAAATCTAGTCGTGAATGTATTTGGCTTCGAGAGAGAGACACGACTCATAGATGATGATGGTCATATTATTTTGTGGCTAATTTAGATTCATTTATTTATTTCGTTCAACTATCGCGGATGGTTTAAGGGATATTATTTGTGATTCATAAGCTATACCTATTTGGACGATCGTAGTCCAGAATAACACGGAGAAATTGATCTCTTCTTGCGTCTTGGAGGTCGTGATCTATAGAGCTGAGGGTGGCAGAGAGGGAAGATGTTTGTGATAGGCACAAGGATAAATCATCCCCTTAAAGTAATGTGAATTGTGGCCTGCAAATTTCTGATTAAAATGAGACGTCTCTCAGCTCTACACGACCTTTCTTTGCAAAGTTATAGAACTTACAAGACAAGCCCTAAATTAGTTTTTTCTCATTTCTATAGCTTTGAGCTGGCAATGAACATTTGAGGCTTTTCTTGTGAGTTCTATAACTTTGAAAAGAAAGGTCATGTATAGCTGGGAGATGTCTCATTTTAATCAGAAATTTGGAAGCCACAATTCTGCCTCATTAAAAAAGTTTTCTGAAAATCTGGTTTTCCAAAACACCGGGTTTTCAAGAGTCATGGGCCCAAATTCTTTTGGGGTATTTACTACCTCACTGAGGTCTATCGATCCATGTATAAAACGTTTGAATCGGAAGTGGGTGTCTCCCTCATTAGTCTTGGACTTCTTTTACTTTGCTTACCATTTGAAATGATTTTGGCTAAAGAGAATAAAACCAAGGAATCATTCACACTAAAAGCTTGTCAAAAGTGAACTCGTTAAAGACAAGATTTTTACGTCGTGTAAACAAAGAAGAAAATTGCTGAACTAGTTTCTTTCTCACCTCTTTCGTTCTTTAGGCATCGTTATGGCAATTTACTGGGCGTTTTTTTCTATATTTTGTAGGCTCGAGATTTTCAAGTCGCTATATTTTAAGTTACTTGTTGTGTCCAACAAGAAATTGTATTGCCGGAAAAGCGTTTCTGGACCTGTGGATTTTCTTTCCGGCACGGAAAGTGCCAGTATAGAATTATTTGTTATCTATCTTTTTGTTTTGTTTGTGAAAAGCATTTTATTTGTTAAAAATGATAACATTATTTTGTCTTTCGGGCTTGGGTCATTTGATCGCCACGATGTAGGTTCTGCTTGTTCTACTGTGGCTCACTCCACTGAAACTGAAAATACATAAGAAACTTCAAAAAAAGAAATATCCTCATTTTCAAGCGAGTTCCGTTTGAATTTATACTCCGTTTTTTGAGAGATAGAGGAAGTGCTTTCAACTATACTTTGACACTGCCTTATATCCTATGTCACCCGCGAAGCAGAGAGAACAAACCAAAGAAGACGTTTCGGAATGTCCGAGCCTGCTGAGTAACTAAAGTTTTTTATTGAGTAACGCAGTTTGTGACTAAAACTTTTTTCTGAGTAATTGAGTTACCCAGAAGCTAGAGAAAATCACTTACTCAAGTACATAAAAGGCAGTTTCTCAGCTTAAATTTCTTAAAAATTTGAGTAAGTCAAAATTTTTTAACTAACTGTATGCAGAGGAGGGGTGGCAAACCACCCCCTAATCGATATAACGCTGTTCTAAGATACGGAAGTTGGTTCTTATTAGTAACAAATGCAGATACCTTTTTGGTTTTGTATGATACCTGTTTCTTTTAGAGAGTAGAGTATGGCTCGTTTACATTTCTCAGCCGGACTGCTTATAATTTTTGATACACAAAATAGATTTCTTTCCAAATTCGTTATAGTATAGTGCTATAGTACAAATCTATGATGAGAAATTTTAAAAAGGGTTTTTTCTCGACTTTTTGGCAAGATTCTTTAGAAATGGTGTAGATTGTCATGTTGCAGCTTCTCAAAAACTGGAAATATCAGTTGCAAAAAAAATGCATCCATAAGTGCTCTTTCGCTTTTTTCTTCCTAAATTAAACATGTCTTAGAACATACTATAGATAAACACATTCCCCACAGTCAGGGCTATCTAAGAAGTAACTCTAACCCCAGTTTGAGCTAAAAGGATATGACAGGTTATTAATGGATAAAAACGCGTGGACTAGCAATATCAAATGTTTTTTGTAAAATTCTGCGATCCAAGTGTTTCCATATCACTCTAGAAATATAGAATTTTAATAAGAAAAATTCTTTAGAGAATTTCCTCGGCTATCGAACCATATATGATTTATGAGGAATCATACTGTTGAGTCATTTTAATACTAACTGTCCACTTTGCGAAACATGCTCCTAGCAGTAACTGATTTTGAGAAGATCATTTTTTGAACCAGAATAAAGAGAATTTAGTACTAAGTTTTTTAAGAGACATTAAGGAGAATGTCAAATAATATTTCTGACCATAGGCCTTCTCTAATACTATCTTCAAACGCTCAACTCGTCAAATTTGGGATGTCAAAATGTTTCTTGGTGGCATCTAGAAAAATCCTTTCTGCTCCTTGAAATATTGTATAAAAATTCTTCATATACTAATTCGAAAGACTAGAAAATTATCTACAATCTGTTATATAACCCATTCAAATTATCTTGTGTTTTATAGGGGAAAAATGATCAGACATTTGTGTAGGATCTTTTTACCCATTTGTTACCATCATATATGAGATCATGAAACAATTCTACGGTCAGTAAAAACATTTTCGGTCGCCGAAAGTAGTCTTCTCTGTCCTTCATAGTGCCTCCCTATCGTCTGGAATGATCGAAACGTTTTTTCTAGAATTCTTTCGTGGTTACACATATGGGGATATTTTTCATGTACAATAAAGCACGAAAAAAAAACGACAACCGCTTGCTTATCAGTGACACTTTCTTGCGATTATGTTGGTTGCAACACACGGTTTTACTTCTTTTCAGCGGCAGTTAATGTTTCGCTCGTTATACAAGATTTTTTTAGTAGAATAACAGGCGAAAACCGCTTGAAGAACCATCATGTTGTTTTGCCAAAGTCACTGCTACGTAATTAAACTCCTTTAAAAAAAAGAAGTTCAATCTTTTTTCTCAACGGTTCGTCAAAATGTGAACATGTGTGACTTGATTCGACAAAGCTAGTTGGTCACGAAATGAACTCCAGTTGGCGATGACTTGGTCCTAGTACTACTGGGATTTTGTAGGGCAAAGTCCGTTTGAAGTTTCTTTGTACAAAATACATCATTTGCGACACGATCTATTGCGTATGGAATGAAGTTCAGATATCTCGATATTTTCATAGGTCGCCTCTTAACACTTAGTTTGTGATTCATAAAAATTAACACGGTAAAGTCTAGAAATCGTTTATATGTCATTTAATACAGCATTTAGTTTTGCAAAAAAAATAGCATTCAAATCAGTTATCTGTCTCATACAGCTTTTTGGAGTAGAATTATTTAAGGCTAAAAATGGATCGATATTTCTTTTTTCAAATTGAAATTTTTAATTTTATCGCTCCGTTTCCTTTCTTTTTTGTTTGACTTGATGACTCTGTTGAGTCATCACAATGTTCGATATAAATTGTTGATATTTATCTTTTAGATAATTGTTAATCGAAATGTTACGAATCACTTTTTCTATTTTGTTGGTCGTCTGTTTAACGGCGGCGGACGTGTTATTATCAAACAATTTCATTAATCATATTAATTCAGTTCAATCATCGTGGCGTGCAGGTTCATCAAAATTTCAATCATGGCCATTGGAATCAATCAAACATTTAATGGGTGTCAGAGAAGGATATTTTGAAGAATTGAAAACTATTGAATCACTAGTGCATGATGTACCCAATGATATACCAGATAATTTTGATGCAAGTATGTAAAATACATATATTGAGAATATATTGATCTCTTCCACGCCACTCCTGCTATAAAGCATTTTTTCTATCTACGCAATACTAGTGATTTAGATCGAACCACCGCTCTGCAGCAATAAGTATTATTTTTCCAGTCTGAATGATACATGATCACTGAGGAGAAAACACGTTAAGAGAGACTTCGCCAGTCGATCGAGTATCTTATCAAAGACCGATCATGAGCGAAAAATTCACATATACTTTTTATTTCATATTCGAATTCTACTATCAAAACTGGAGTTATGAAAAATAAAACTTTCTGACTTATTCTGACTGAGTTATAGAATTTACAAAATGAGCACCATCGTCGATTTGCGAAAAGTAGTCATCTCTGATATTTTGACTATAACTCCGCCATTTTTTATTACGAACTCGGCCTTCTGTTCGAGCAACATCTCATTCGAAAGCCTGATAAAAAGTGAACAAAATCACATAGTCCTAATTATTCGGAAGGAGAAACTGACTGTTTAAAACCCACATCAATTGGAGAACTGAGATTTTGAAGAGTCAACATTTTCGAGAAAATACCACTTTCGACCCTCCAAACAGAATTTCCCTAACAATTTGAAGGTCACATGCGACAGAGACTTCAGTTTTTCACAAACTGAGCGGAAAGGCTTTATTTTAAACGTGGTGCAAAAGCTCTAAAACTTGAAAACAAGATGGTCAACCAACCGCGAGTTTATCAGTTTTTTTATATTTTAGTCATCAAAACTTTACTTAAAAACAAAAATAAGGTGATATTCAGAATCAGCGCCAAAACCTGCATCAGATGATGTGCCTTTGAAAGCTTTTAGAGAAACGAAAAATTTTGTCAATTTTTCGATTTTTTATGTTCAGCTTCCAATTTTTCAAATGCAAATTTTGACAGAATTAAAAACTTTCAGAAAGAAAAGAAAGGGTTTTAAACAGTCATTTCCCACTTCCGAATAATTAGGATTATGTGATTTTGTTCACTTTTTATCAGGCTTTCGAATGAGATGTTGCTCGAACAGAAGGCCTGATAGTAACGGGTACGGCAGATTAAATTGCCGGTTTTTGATAGGCTTTTTTCTCAAATTAGACTTGATCAGAAGGTTGG